GACGTGGTTTGATCGTTTGAACTTAGTTTCATTACGGTACATCACTTGACCATTGTATGAATCAACAATCCGACCGTTGGATCGTCATAAAAATTTAATGTATTATAGAAAATAATATTTGAGGATAACTGGAACTGACGGATTGGGAATCCGGCTTACGGATCTTCCCGAATTAGATTTCTAAGTTAGTAAAATTAATTGTTCACCGCCACCTATTTTTGGCAATTGGCGGAGATCCGACCCTTGTATCGCGATGAGATTTTAGTATGTTGTTCCTTGAGCATAATGTGGACCTTAGGAAGTTATGGATCTAGATTATGATGTGTGGATCTTCCGGATTAAATTGATACACTGTTGACTTTTGGTCAACAGGTCTTGAACCATTTGAATTACTAAAATCAGTATTACTAGAGACTCCGTGAAGCCTTGCAGACTTGTCTCGGTGAGTGACTTTAATATATGTGATATGGTGATTACCCGATTCTTTATATTAATATCCTTTGTGGATATGACTTGATTTTATAAAGGGGCATTTTGATATAGATGCCTCAAATTTGAATTTTTTTAATCAAACATCTATAACTCTTAAACTTTTGATCAAACATTCTTCTACTAATTTTTAATTAAAAATTATGATTTTTATTGTATTTAATTAACCAACTAGTTCAGAAAATAATATCACACATATTCTAAAATCACCACAAACATCCTATCTTATCTTAACATAATTCGTTCAAAATGAATTTTTCTTATTCAAATAATTTGTTGCTTTAAATTCTAAAAACACATAAACATCCTATTAACATACAATTATGAAATATAACATGCACATATATTAAATATAATGTACCAAACATATATATTAAATATAACGTACCAATCATTTGGTACATTATATAAATTTAATCTAGGTACGTATTAGTATTACGTTATAAAATATTGCTTTTGGTACGTTATGCAATTCTTTATTTAGTACGTACCAAGTTATTACTACGTTGTATTATCCTTATTTTGGTACATACAAAACTTATGGTACGTTATGTGTAAGTTGTGTAACCCAAAAAAAAAATATAACTTTTCACATTAAAACATTGCACTAAAAAATATTTTGTCAACTCTTAATAATTAATTATTGGAATAAGGGCTCATTTTAGATAAAAATAAAAATGTGAAAACTCTTAGTTCACGTTTCTACAATAAGTAATAGTTAAAAAATTCAAATTTATTTTTAGTTGCATGAAATTAGGCAGTCTAGTCTACATTTCAATTTTAATTATAAACGAACTCTTGTTTTTTTTTTTTTTTTTTTTTTTTTTTTAATAATCTATATAAAATGTTGAGTTGGAAATTGGAAAAACTATATTTTATCCAATTAATCTTGAACCCGAGTAGATATAATTGAATCCTTAAATTGAGGAAGGGATGAGATTCCATAAAAATAGCAATAAATTAATGAATATTATTGAGTGCATTTTTTTTTTTTTTTTACATAGAAATGGATTTAAAAGAATTTATAAAATACTTAAATTAAGACTATACCTGGAATATAAAGTTTAATTAAAAGTAAAAGCACTTTAATCAAAAGTTGAAAAGTAACAGATGTTTAATTTAGAAAAATCTAAAATGAGGCATCTAATTCTAATTTATCCTTTTATTTATAAATGTGTTTTCTGTTAAAATGTGATTATTTTATAATTGGCCATCGATCTATTTTTATTAAATGTGATTTGATTTATGGATTGGTAATATTTGTGAAAAAATAATTCGAATTGCGTATTGAAATGTTTTATAAATTGAGGGCTAGTAGGGGACTATGACACTGCTTGGTTAATCTGCATTGGGGGGGTCACTAGTGGTCCTTGGTTAATCCGCATTGGAGGACCATAATATATATGGATCGCGCTTGGTTAATCCGCGTTGGGCGATCCTTATGGCCATTTATATTTAGGGGTGATCATGCTTAGTTAATCCGCGTTGGGGGGTCACTACCTACCTGATTATCTTGACCCTGCTTGGTTAATCTGCATTGGGGGGTCACTAGTGGTCCTGCTTGGTTAATCCGCATTAGGGGACGATACTATATATGGATCGCGCTTAGTTAATCCGCATTGGGCGATCCTTATGGCCATGTATGCTTAGGAGTGATCATGCTTGGTTAATTCGCATTGGGTGATCACTTCCTAATAGTTGCAGGAGTGACTCTGCTTGGTTAATCCAAGTTGGGGGGTCACTGCCTACTTGGTTACTTTCTCAGGGGTGGCTCTGCTTGGTTAATCCGCTTTGGGGGGCCACTTCCTGTTTGGTTACTTATGTAGGCTTCGGCCGAACTGCGTCACTCTAGCCATAACTTTTAATGCACATATGAACGATGATTTTTGGTAATCTTGGTGGTTTGAATGGGAAAAGCCGTTGGATGTCTGGGTGACTCCTTCGGAGTTTTCAGTGACTTGATTATGATTGCATAAAGCATGATTCTATACTCGATGTTTATAGATTGCGATTGATGGTCTGTTTTTATTGAATATCACATATTTGTATTATTGTCACTCACTTGAGCTTGGTAGCTTAACCGAGTTCTGATTTGCTAGTGCACCATTCCCTTGAAGTAGGCACCGATTTTACATATGACAGGTCTGGGTAGATTACAAGAAACCGTTTGGTATTTTGGTTCCGTTGGGTGGTCCGGAACCCGATGTTGGATTTTATTGAGTGGTCCAGAATCCTTACTCTTGAACATTTCCAAAAGGACTAGTCTGGAACCCTAGATTCAAGTGAATAGGAATTATCCACATTAGACCTTGTGAATATAAATTAGATTTGCCATGTTGTTACTCATAACCCAAGTAGAGAATTATATAGAGTTCTTTAATTAAATTCGTGAAATGATATGTTATCGTAATGATTGATTAACGTAATTAAATGCTAAGATCATGCATCCTTGATTCATGAATGAATTAATTGACGGGATTGTGGAATGGCGTTGGATATGATTGTTATTAGTATAATTATTTTAGTTGATCAATGTTTCTGGAGAATAATATTGTTCATTGTTAATTCTTTAATATGTTACATGCTATGAATTGTGATTTTATGTGGGAAACATGATGATTTTTGTGATGGATGATGTGGAAATGTTAATAGTCATGTGGGATTGTTATGTTGGATATCATTGTTATTGTTATGATTAAACTTGTTGATAAATATGGCTAGGGAATATGATTGTGCTTAGTCGTTTGTTCTTTGAAATATTGCATGATATGCATTGTGGTATATTGTTCGGACATAACGGTTTATGTGATGAATATTCGAGTGTAGTGAAATAATGAACTACGAATGGCTTGATCCCTATGTAGGGTACGTAGGTAGTCTAATGAGGAGCTTAGATGCAGCCATAAAGTGTAGGAAAAATTACTATGTAGTTGGATCGTGAATTGTGTTTGCACATATCTTGGAGGCGGGGTATGTTAGAGATACAGATACTTGGTGACATCATGTGTCGATCCTGGACGTATCGGGATCGGGGCGTGACATCTATACTAGAGGTATAATTTGTTTTATATTGTATTTTTGTTCTTAAATTGTAGTTTTTGATAATGAAAGTGAAGTTCATTAAATTGGTTGATAAAGTTGGTGGGAAGGGGCAGAGGCATGGGAAGAGGGAGAGGCATAAGAATAGTAGTATCTAACTCACAGCCTACTCCACAAGTTTAAATGGTACATTCAATAGTCCTTCAGTTTTTTTTTTTTTTTTTTTGGATGCAGTTCTTTAGTTTTTGTATTGTTTATTCTTTACCTTTTTTTTTTGCAATAATAATTTGTGTAAATTGTGTTAAAAGGAGTATGATTTGGATTTTATAGGGTGACTAATAGGTACAAGGCTGCATTGGTGTCACTTTCCAAGTAGTGTCACCACAATCACAATCTACCAACAAAAGGTACAAATTACCTACAAAGAGAGGCAAGCCCTAGAAGCCTTGAGTATGGAGGGAGTTTGTAGTTTGGATGTCACTGCAAAAATAGAAGAAAACAAGCTACAACCATTTATTTTCTTCTTTTTGTGAATTAGAACAGTTGAATATTGATTTTGCAGTAGAACATTTAGAGTTTGATCTTGGTGTTAAACATGTGGGATATTTTTTTTTGTTGATGTTGAACATTTGAATATTTTGCTTTTGGATATTTTGCAAGTTATAATGATGGTCATGTTGAAAATCTCATGTAATGGAACGTGGTATCCCTTTTCGGTAATTCTATTGATTTAGCCTTGTCTGTAGATATACCATACTCTGAACCATCCATTTCATTTATATTCAAGTGTGCAAATTGTGCAGTTTTTTTTTCCAAAAATTAACGAAAGGGAAAAAGTCGGGGATCATTTGTGATGATTTACTTGAATTTGGCGCCAAATTGTTTTTAATAATGGGTGAAGATTTGATTTCACTGCCAAAATCAGCAACATGTGAGGGAAATGAGAGAAGAGGGTGAAAAAGCAAGTGGAGAATTTAATTTGATTAAAATACCCTCAATTTAACGAAGCTTTTTAACAGAATGATAAAAAATGATGGATGATGGACAATCTCAGGAACCACTTCTATTGATTTTAAATTTCAGAAACCAAATCGATGCATTATGCAAATCTCGGAGACCATTTTGACTAAAAACATCTTTTTTATTTTTCTTTTTTTTTAACAAAGAGTGCATAATGAAACTGTGAAGTGTCTCGTTTTCTCCTGTTACATTTCTCTTGGTTTCTTAAGGAAACTGGATTTCACACCTTTTTTAATTAGTTTATCACACATCCTTCTTTATTTCTAAACAACGAGTTGAATAAATCAATAAAAACAATCAACATGATTAAACATAGGTGTATAACGGGAAAAAAAAGTATGTGTTTATCATTTTCCTTTCTTAAAAGCCACGTTCTCAACTTATGCTTAATTTGAGCATGTAGTTGAAACAACAGATTTGCGTAAAATGATGTTTTGTACAAAACTAGCAAGGGTACCCCCACGTTGTTGTGGGGTTTGAAAACATTATTGAATACGTAGAAGTCTGGAAAAATATATGTGCCACAGAGTGGTATTTATATACATATATTACATCCATGTGTTAAGGAAGTGCTATTTACATTCATATATTACATGAAAAAAATTGGGAAGGTTGGTACGCCATCCTTAAGGACCCTTTTTCAAAAGCTATGGCTCTATCCCAGAGATTTTTTTTATGCTTGCAACTATACAAAGTTAAAACGATCCAGTTTTGTTTCACTAAAGACACCAAAATCCATAACTCCGTTAATGATGTCTCCTTCATTTTGTACGACAACGTTGAACTGAAAATCAAAAGAAGAAGGAATTAAAAACAGAATTTGATCACTTATGAATTGAATCACACTAAATTGCAATAGAATTGAATTGAATGAAAATCTAAAGATGAAGGAAAATTTGTTATAATTTCAGTAAGCAAACTTTCACTATGCCAGATTTCATTTGTAGGCACCAAAACAAATTCATAAAACTAAGTAGGGTTTCTCATATTCTCTATTAGATTTTCACTATGCCAGATTTCTAAATTTTACTTTAGGCAGGATTGATATGCACATCTCTACCAGTATATAGTTCCCCTAAATTGATTTTTACTCAACATTTCACAGTATTAATGTAAATATGAGAAAACATAACCATCCTTAATCACAAACAGAGCATAACTCCAATGTCATGTATGTCACAATGCAGAATTCGCCCAACTGAATGTGTTTCTAGCTGATTATGTATCAAACTAAATAAGACTACGAAATATATGAAGATAAAATACACACCTGGGATACGAGTCTAACAAAATCCCAGCATAAGGAGGCACATGGAAGTACTCAACGACCGTTGTAACTGCCTAGCTGCTGAAACTCTTTCGGACCAAAGGACCCTGTAGACTACTCATTAGCAAAGACATCATGGTGTTTGTCCAGGATAATTCACACCAATAAAATTACAAAATCATGATAAATTTCACTCTAAAACTTGATCTGCTTTCGGTGTAATAGAATCCAAGATTGTAAGTGTTATTGCTAAAAAAAAGAAAGCAAAATTCCACATCAAGCAGCAGGTATATAAATGCTCTTCTATGTAGATTCACCTATTAGCTCTGTACTAACTCACACACACCATGCATATATAATGAATCACTTTCTTTTTAGCAAACAAAAGAATATCACACGTTACGTGTAATAACAGGTCCAACACCAACTAATATTTAGCAGAAATGTAAAGGTTGTTCATGTAAATTAAAGAGTTATGATCAAGCCCTCCTCTTTAATTTCATGATTTATTTTTTTCCACGACAATGAGATGCTCTCGTAGAAATTAGGGTCCACAAATTAGTTTAATAGTAAAAAAGAACAAACCAACTCACATTAATAACAGTAAACTTTCAAAAGTGCTTTGTGTGTAAAATATGTACACCAAGTGAACATCGAAGCAGCTATCCATATATATATAAATGAAGGTAGAGATATTGGGACCTTATTCTACCAATCAACCGAGCAGACCCTCTGGAGAAGACCGGGTTCATAAGGACGATCTTTACAAAGATGCCACTGAACCGGTGAAGACTAACAAACTAAAAGGTTGTTGACATCAATGTAGCCATATATGAGAGGGTTTTAGGTTAACATTTAGCTGTGTTAACTTTTGATTGAAAAGCCAGTTGCTTGATATAATTTCTGTATGTGAGTTGTTTGCTTTTATGCTTTGATTGAATCAACTAAATTAGATAGTGCTGCATTTCTAGAGGACCTCTCAAGCTTCCGCATCACAACCAAATTACACATATTCGATGCAGATGGCAATACACTTGTTTGTAACAAAGAGGAAAAACTGAAGGAGGGTTGATCTATTTTATTTAACTTTTTGGAATTGGGGAGTAGTGGTTTCTAATGCTAACCATGTAAGAAAATATGATCGGACAGAGTTGAATTCAAATTGAAAAAAGGAAAATCAGTCAGGAAATTGAATTTGTAAGGAGCTCAAAGACATTTCGATTTGGTCATTTACACACAGCAATGGTAAAAATTACAGAAAACTATACCATCTCGCTTGGTTCATCTCCTGCAAGTGCTGAAATAGCACTTGGTTCGTGAGTTGGCAGTGCACAATCAGAGTCAGGAACTGTTGGAAAGCGTGGAATGATTTTCGTCCCTTTCCCTGCTGCAGACAAACATCAAAACCCACAACCAAGTTCACCAAAAATGCACAGAAAAAATACTACCAAACTCACAAATTTAATCCAAGTATTCTACAAAATCTAGAAGAAAAAAAAACCCGTAAGTTTAATGAAGAACCCTCCAAAGGTCAGAAATTTAAACGAATTTTTTTTACAAAATCATGAAAAATTTACTAAAATTCAATTATATTAAATCACAAATTTGAATAAGATCTTCACATGCAATGGGCCTAGAAGGATCCTCGGGTGATGATGAGTCATTTGAGACCAATATCGAGGCCAGACATCACCGGAATCGTCGGCGATTCCGATTACAGAAATCAGCTGAGACCAACTTCGTGTTCTTGGTTGCAGCAGCACGCTTGATTTAGGTTAGAGAAGTCATTGGCAATGGTAGAGGTTTGTGAAATTGCGAGAAGACGGTGGTTCGTGAAATGGCAAGTATACCCCCGTGTGTAGGACAAAATCATAACCTTATAGCAGGCCACTCCTCTTAGAGCAACTTTCATCCGTAAAGACTTTACGCTAGCACCCAGCCCATTTATCCATTCAATGAACAGTAATAAACCATAATGAACAGTAATAGGTCAACGCATCTCCACCCCTAAAAAAATGTGTTGGCACCCAATCTAAAAATACGCTGGCACAAACGATCTCCATCCTTACAAAATGTGCTGGCATTCAGTCCATTTAAAATATTAAATAATTTTTTTTATAAAATAATAAATTTAAAAAATAGTTTTAATTTTGGATAGGATTTTTAACCAATCTCGTCACGCCACGTGTCATTATCCGAACGTACTATGTTGTGAATAGATTTCCACTAAGATTTTCAACTAATCCCGACAAGCCGCGTGTCACTTCCTGTTTAAATGTAGAAAGTGTAGAAAGTGTAGAAAATATTGAAAAGTGGTGTAAGGTGGAAGATGAGGGTTAGGTATTTATAGGAAAAAAATTAATTTTTTAAAATTTTTCTGTATTTAAAAAAAAAAAAAATCATAATTTTTAATTAATTTTTAATAAATTTTAATGTTGTTAATTAATCTGGACCGTTGGATTTGAAAAATATTCAAATCCAACAGCCAACGAGCTGCCACGCGGCCAACGGTCAAAATTCTGACCGTTGGACATTTTTTTTTTTTGTTTTATTTTTTTTTTTTGGTGAAAAAAACATGGACTATTGATCTATGATCGGACGGTCCATTTTAAAAGTCAAATTTAAATTCTTTTTTACTGTTGGAAATCCAACGGCCCACAAAAACTAGCCGTTGGAAATCCAACAACTTTGAGGAGGGCCACGTAGCCCTCATCTGGGTAAACACAAGTGGGCTGGCAAGCAGGCCCCGCCACCTGCACCCTTGTCTCCTACTCGCGCCCAGTCGCGAGTGTTATGCACGCGCCAGCCAAATAGGCCGGCTTTTGGGTTTGTTCGAAATGGGCTAGTCTGTTGCCTGGCTTGGACTACGTGCCAGGCTGTTTTGCAGGCTGGAGCACTTGGACAGGGTGCTGGGCTATTCCACCTCCCGATGGAACTGCTCTTATAAATACCTTAATCTTCACCAAATTTTGGTAAGTTTTTTTCTACGCATACAAGTTCTAAACACTTACTCCTTTTAAAAAAACTAACTTAGGCATCGAAGATTTATTAGCCAAACCCCCCAACCTCGTGAGGCATGAGCTTTGGTCTGTGATCAAAAGTGTTGATTGTTTTGTCAGTATAAATTCATCAAGACTGAAGACGGCAGATTTTTGCTACCCCAAATTGTTGGTTTCATTGAGAGCTTGATTCAAATACTTGAAGAAAGCTCTCGCATTTTTTTGGGAATTTTTTGCTACGTTGAATTTCTTGTACGCTCCTAATCGTTGAAATTTTTCCCACTTGGACACTTGTCCCGCCACCTCATTCTCACAACATTATTGGATCTAAATGGGTGTATTGAGTTAAATACAAGGCAGATAGCAGTTTGGATCGATATAAAGCACGACTTGTTGCTAAAGGGTTTCTTCAACAACATGGTATTGACTACCATGAAACATTCAGTCCAGTCGCTAAATCAACAACTATTAGACTCGTTTTATCTCTAGCTATCCAATTCAATTGGCAGATTACTCGATTGGATGTCTCCAATGCCTTCCTTCATGGCACACTTCATAGATCCTCCCAGACCTCATTTTGTGTGCAAGCTTCACAAGTCTATATATGGTTTCAAACAACCCCGCAAGCTTGGTATGAGGAGCTCTATCGTAGTCTTGTAGCTCTCAGATTCCGTTCCTCTATAGCAGATCCTTCACTCTTTATCAAGGTTGATCACTCACTCACTTTTATACTTGTTTATGCTGATGATATTCTGATTATAGGTAACTCTTCTTCTCATTGTGAATTTTTTATCAACAAGCTCAGTACTCAGTTTGCTATGAAGAATCTTGGTCCATTGCACTTTTTTCTTGGTATTCAAGCTCATCGGCAGACACGCTCTTCTTGGTTCAAACCAAGTATGTCGAGGATCTCCTAACAAAAGCCAACATGCTAGATTCCAAACCATGTGCATCGCCTTCATGTGCTTCTAAACTTGCTCCTTACAATGGTGAATTGCTTCAAGACCCTACCATGTTCATATCATTGGTTGGTGTTTTGCAACTCCTTACATGGACAAGGCCTGACATCACCTTTTCCGTCAATCAAGTTCAACATCTTCAGATCCAGAACAGCTTCAAGATGAGAATTGAATTGATCACCAACAGATTGCATATAATGAGATGCAAATTGTAAGGAATGTGGATGTACAAATCACATGAGATTTGACTTTCTTGATAAGTGCATAGTAACAGAAATTCTAAAAAAATTATAATACACAAACAGAAAAATCTAAATGAAAAAACGAAGGAGATGGGAAAAGGAGGATGCATCATTATTTTAACTGAAGAACACAATTCATAGAACAATAATTAGTAGATAAAACGAAAGCAGCAATGTAAAACTCATGGGCTACCTGAATTCTGAAGCTGAGGATGATAGCTTAATAGCACCAAGTTCCATCTTCAGTCAGAGTGGAAACTGAATTCGGGACTCTTCTGGGTTCCTATTAACAAACATAACATGGTGGACTAAAACTTTTAGATGGCTGTGGTATCTCACTTAACAAACATGACATATAATGTAAACTAATGAATCTGATTCTCTCTGGAGGGGTATATGTATCTCTTAGAACATCAAAAGGTGACAAAATGGAAAGGTACAAAGCCATTAAACAATTGTCTAAAAATAAGCTAACTTATAAAGATGTCATAGTTTGAATTCAGTCAGTATACATCATTTTCAACACAAAATAATAATATTTCTCCAGTCCTGGCTGCTTCAATTATTTTGTTAACCACAGCTTCAACCTAAGTAGTGATGAGAGCAGGATTCAATCTGTGATTTTCAACCCTTCTTCCCTGAGCATCAATACTTCAAAAAGAATGCATTAAGAACTAAAATTATAACTCAGACTCTTCATACCCGGTCTTTGCTCACTACAATCTCTATTTTAATCTTAGCGACGAAGTTGTCTTCACAAAATGCAGAGCCTAACAAAGTAATAAAAAAAGGAAGAAATTATGAAATGATAATATAAGAAAAGAGTAGGATGATAAATAAATAACAGTAGATATGATAGGTAGGCAGTGTTTCAAAACATCTATAGATTTAATTAAAATGAAGAGGAAATATCCATGCCAAAGCAAGAACATATCCGAAAAACAATCTCACCCAAGTGAGATTGACGGTGAAGATCTAGATTGCGTGAAGGCCAGAAGATCAGAGGTCTAAAGTCCTTGCAGTGAAAGAAGTTATCTTCTTCTTCAAAGCTGCATATGAAAGAAGCAGTTGTGCATTAAATTTTTATGGCCTCCAAGAAATTTAGAATTTGAAAAACTGATTAAATTAAAAAATTGTAGCTTTAAAAACACCATAATTGGTTTCACGTATTTAGCTTCAGAAAATGAAGGTTGAATTAAAAGAAATTAAAATGAGAAAGTTCTACCAGCATCATTTTCTTAAGCTAATCAAGTCCAAGAAAACTGCACATATATTTTTCTTAAAAAAAAAAAAAAAAAACAAAAAACAAAAAATCATGCAAATAATACACCTCCTCTCACCATCAACCAAATTAATCATGCAAAAGATGCGTCAAGTTCAACTAATAAATAATATTGAATTTAAGAGAGAGAAATATCATTGAGATTAAGAGAGAGAAAGAGAGGAGAGAGAGGGGCAACAAATGGGTCTGCTGAATTTGAAGAAATCTGAACTCAAAGTCTCCAACTTGAATAGCTTATCTCTAAATTTCTTCAGAAAAAATTAATTAATTCATTAATAAAAAATTAACCCTAAGTTCAAAAGGTTGAAGCAAATTTGAGTTCATGACTGACCCCAAAAACCAAACCCAAAGCAAATATGTCGGAAAACTCACCTGGAAACCCAAGCTTTTATGGGTTTAAAATCTCCTCAAATCAGAACGGGAGCCAAGCTTTTCTGGGTATAAAATTTTTACGAAACGGGATTCATGCAAAGAAAATTCGATCACGAATTGAAAAAAAGTGAGAAAAATATAGAGACCTTCTTACGGAGGCCAGGAGTTCGCGGCTTAAGTGAGAGAGCTTGAGAAATCTGTTCTGGAAGCAAATGGAAGAGCCCCATTTTTCATCCTTCTCTCCTTCCACGATGAGCAACACTTTCACAAGGAAGAAAGGCTTCTGCGAGATAGAGATCGAAAAGGATGGGTACCAATGAGGGAAAAGAATGGGAAGGGCCGGAAGGCTGAACAGCACAAACAAAAGAGGACACACACGTAATTTTACTGTGCAACAAAGAAAGAAAGCTGAAAATAGAGGGGCAGAATCGCTATTTCACTGCTAATAAGTAGCCCCTCTCACATGATGAACATTAACTTTTTGCTGGCCTTTAGTATGTATAAATAAAACAGGATTCTCTACCCTTCTAATCTCTCTACCCTTCAATCTTATTCTATTTGAACGATCACGGTTAAATCACGTCAACATCTTATATTGATTTTTTTTTATAGAGATAATAAGACAAAAAATAATATGTGAGAGGAATGGATGGAAGAGGATGGAAATAGATCTCCTATATAAATATCTAGATTTTTAGTTGTAGATTATTTATATGGATCTTTAACTACAATATCAAATTTCTTATTTTTTTTCATGTTTTTACTTTTGACATTGTGATACTTATTTTAGAATATGGAATTATATATAATATTTGTTAATTTCATGACTGTCTTAATCCCTCACCCTCACCGTCTCTAGATTTTAATTTTGGTAAGAACCATGAAAATGACTGAAAAACATGATGTTCTTTTCGAAATATACATTAGCATCCCCCTCTCACCCAAATGCCAAAATTAGGTGGCTTGACTTGAGATGTTTTCAGATATTATAATTGAATCAACAATTAGGCTACACTCCTTCATTCACAGCAAAAAACCTCGCACCAAACAAACAGTCACAATTGATTCTGACAAAATTGCTACAGAATTCCACAATCTGGTTGTCCCTAAGATCAAACTTGCCGACAAAGTTCCAATTGAAGCCATCAGGACAAAAACTTAGCCCAAAAAAAAAAAAACAAAGATAGGTAAATTACAATTTGTTTTTTTTGCACGCATGCTTGAATAGCGTCCATAATAGTTGCCTTTGTTACATTATGATTTATGTTTTTTGCTATAGTGTCGAAGATGTCCGGTCTCAGAAAAAGTGAACATCCACGCTCTCCATGATCGAATGTTGCACACCATGCTGCATATTTTTTTTGTTTGAACATCTATGCTTAACGACTTACTTGCTCAAACACCGCTTTTTCTGTGTTTTGCTAACTGCTAAACGAGGTATGTAGGTTGCAGGGCATATATTTTGCTGTCTTAACTACAGGGGCAAAATATGTGTAAATTGCAACTTGCTTCTATTTCTTCAGTTTTGTATAGAAACAAACCTTCTGCTTATTTTTGCCTTTGAACAGTTGTGGCTACAAAATTAGCTACTTGAACAAGTCCTCAACATTTTCTGTTTTTAATTTCCTGTTGAAATGGTCGCCTATACTGCAGGACACATATTATATGTGTCAACTACATGTCTACTTTTTCGGAAACCATCTCTTTCTAATCAAAGACGTTCAGTTTCTTCCCACTCATTATACAATGTGTTTATATGACAGCTCACTTGAATATATATAAAAGCAAAACTACTTATCTTATCGACCTTATTTACTCATGTATCCCTCTGTTTATTCATAATTGTGTTGAGTTTAAACTTGAATGTGTTTTATTCATCCGATTACGCCTGAAACAGCTAATTCTTACAGCAATGCGCGAGTGTATTTTCTAGTTTATTCCTACAATACAGGTCTAACATGGGGTCCTTCGCAGAAGCCTACCAAATCTCTCCACACCAAGGAACCTAATCACAATGGATCGAAGCCCTCCATTTCCTTCCAATCCAATTACTGCAAGTACCTTGGTGTCCCATTAATTCACTCCAAAATTACCAAGAGTACTTACTGGGGAATTGTTGAGGCCTCATAACCAACATGTTCAGCTGTCTATCCAAAATTTTCTTCTGCTAGGCCATAGCTAAAAACCTACGTTCTTGCTGTAGATATGGTAGTGCCTTTGCCTTTACTTGCTCTTTCAAAATCATACCAAACTTATCCACTTAGAACTTATGGGGAGGACACTTGTTTGGGCTTTGTTCAGGACATACAAAGAGGGCGTTGTGACAACTGGTGCATGGAAGAACGACTATATATGATGTTATTGATATACTAGAGACATACAATAAGAATCTTAATTGCTTTGATATAGGTGGTAAGCGTTTGACGATAGCAGCTGTAGATATTGCTGCCATTATTGGATAAACAGAAGGAGGCAAAGCAATTGACCATGGAACCCCATTGTCAGGACCTAGGACGAAATTCATGAAAAGAAATTTTGGCAACCTTGAAAGGTTAACCAAGACTGTTGTGGAGAGCATGATGATTGAAGCTTGCAAAGGCATCTCCAAATATGATCCCAAAGACTTTGTTCGTCTCGTGTGTATTTACTTTTGTGTAACTCTCCTATTCTGCAACACAAACACCATAATATCTTGGAAACTTGTGACCTACTATGAAGATATAAATAAAATGAAGGAATATGCGTGGTCCAATGCAATTGCAGATTTTTTAGATAAATCTCTTGCAAAGAAGAGCAACCATGCAACCGGTTGTGTTGCAACTCTACTTGTAAGTTCTTTGTGTCAACATTTCTATGTTTCAATTACTTTGATTGGTTGATTTATTTATATTTTGTTTATGCAAATATTGGTTGTGTGAGAAGACCCACATTAGCCCAATTCATGGAAGGGAAAACATGGCCCAAGGTTCGTTTGATGGAATTTGACATCACTACATTCTTGGATAAGGTTGACCCATGAACAATGGAGGTACAATAGCTAAAAACTTGTTTTTAATTTGTCAAATCATTAGGTCATATGTCAACAGTATTAATTTACAAATAAGCAATAGTTCATATACTATTTTTAACTTGTATTGCAACCATATGAAGAAGCAAGTGAAGAAGTAAATATAGTACCAGAAACACCGAAATATGTAACAACACATTGACTTCATACCTCAAATGAATTGGTACTCAATATTGGACCTCTCACAAAAAAATGACATTTGATGTCACATCATGGATGGACCAAAAGACGAAAAAAATAGTATCATCAGCGAATGGATTGCAATGGGAATGAAAGAGTCATTGTTGAAGTCATACCATATTATACATCTAAAAACAAAGCACGTGGTAGTATGAGAAGTTCTATATCAGGCAAGATCGGTCCACGTGATTTCCCAATTAGACATTAGTACCATCCCAAAGTTTTGAAAACAATGTAAATGAAGAAGACTAACAATTGTTAATGGTCAGCAACATGGAAAATTTGCAAAAGGCGAACGAAAAATTGAGAATGGAGTTGTCCAAGTTGAATATCAGGTGTGAAGTTATTGAAGTAATTGCTGATTTTGTTGAATGAATCAGTCAACATTGCTAAAAGTGCCTTGAAAAAGGTACGGTTTGAAAAAAAAAAAATGTACTTGAGGTTGAGAACCACGCTTTGAGAAAGGAAATTGCGAGACTACGTAATGGTGATGCTGAAATTGGGGTGCCACCACAAATCCATGGTAAGAGGACTAAAAAATAACATGAAAGAATGGGGTATTAGAAGATTATGAATGTGAATCTTTGGTCAAAAGGACACCAACAAACCACTCAAAAGAGAAGTGTGATGGGTCTTCACCTTTGAAAAAAAAAATGTTGGTCTCATTATGGAAGTGGGACGTGTTGGTGATGAACAACGCAATTTAAAGGAAGAATGAACTTGTTGATGACTACAAAAACAAACCAGATGGTACGAACCATAATGAAAATATTCAAACCATGGTTGAGGACCGCAAAAGAAAAACACTAATGGCTACATTGAACCCCTCACTTGACATATTGAATACTACTGTTGGGAAATGCCTAGAGGAAAAGACATGGAGAAACTTGAAAAATATATAGAAAAGAAACGTGAACATCGTCATCAGCAGAGAAGGAGGAAAAAACTTCATTTCCCCAGAGATGGGGAAGTTTATTGTAACCGAAAGAGGAGAGACATGAAATTTGAATATGTTATTCATATGTAGTATATGAGAACCATAGAGACTTTGATGGTCTTGTGTTATAAAGAAATGAGTCAAAGCCTTCATGTCCCCCGTTTTTGAGTTAGAGACGACTACGCGCAAAGTATCACCAAGGAAAACCAAGTCTTAAGGAATGCTTTATTCTTCTTCCAACAACTCATCGATGCTGTGCTGATGAAATGCTTCCCTAGGTGCTAAGTCTTTCCTTGGGCGCTGACGGAGTGTTTCCTTGGGTGCTGACGAGTGTTGCCCTAGACGCTGACGAGTGTTTTCCATTGGCGTTGATGCAGTGTTTTCCTCGACACTAACGAGTATTTCCCTAGGTGCTTATGAGTGTTTCTTGCGCTGATTCTGGGGGCTTTGAGGAGTATTTGTTAAACTAACAAACACTGGAAACAACTGAGTAATCACAATAAGTTATGATTTCCATGAATGATGTATGGTGTGGAAACTAAAAGCTCACTAGTTTGCCATGAGATAGAGAGGTTGTTTTTGGCTATATGGTATCAAAGTAGCTAATCTAGGGTTTCTAATGGTTTGGTGGTTTTGCAAGAGTTAAGGAATATTATTGGAAGGATGAGGATGAAAGAAAGACTTCTCTATAAAGAATTAGTGTTTCCTACTGATGCGGGAATTAAACGCACACAAATTAAACCCTCTTTTTGTCAAATTGTAGTAAGTATGTAAGTAGGGATCGTTCTGGACCGGGGATTAGGAGGGATTGTTAATCACTTGGATTTGACTCAAAAACGTAAAAACACAATATAAAACACTATACTAGACTCAAAGAATGCAAAACTAAACTTTAAAACACTAAGACAAACCAAAAGACTCAAAACAAGTTCAAAAGACTCAAAACTGACTAAAAACACTAACTAGGCAGTTTCTGACCTTAAACCCAATTTGGATGAATTTAAGATTATGGCTTGATTCAAAACACTTTAAAACATAAACTAAACAGATTCTAAACACTAAAGAACAAGAAAGTAAAGGGGGGTTTTGATTTGACGAAAATTGAAATAACGAAACAAGTTAATAAACTAGGCAGAATGTAAATATGAAT